TGTTATTTATTTTATTTCAATATTTTTTTTCTTCTTCTTAAAAAAAATAAAATAACTTAACTAATCTCCTCATCTCTCTTCTAGTATAACCAAAATAAACCATATTCTATATTATTATTATAAAATATATTTAATATTAGCTATACAAAAACTTTATAATTTGATTCATTTTTTAAAATTTTATTTATTAGATTACATAGAATAAATACAAACAAAAAATCAAAATTTTTATTCATGGCCTGTGTATATTTACGCATTGAGTATTTATGTACTACTGAGTTTTCTTTCATCATTTAAACTTTATCAGACATCTTGTATATTTTTCTAAACCAACCACCATTATAATATACTAAATCATTGAAAAAATATCTATAACATGATTAAAGCTCATTTAGATTAGCATTCGAATTATAAAATTCCAACAATTTCGCACAAGATATGAAGATATTAAATATTCTTTATTTCTACTTCTATGAATTTGTTGTCAATAACAGGTATTTTTTTTCTGAATAAAAAAAAATCTTTAATTGCAACACAATAAAAGAAAATATTGTCATTAATTTTTAAGCCTTTTTTTCTTTTATTGGCAATTTAAATCGCCAAAAGTTCACTTTTCTTCCCCCCTGACGATTTAAAGATTAAAGCATACATAAATTAAATATCAAATATATTCATTAAAAAAAATATTTAACCTATGTAAATAAGATTAAAATTACCTTTAAAAAAATTATTTAAATATTGATAAAATTAAAAATTTTACTAATTATGATGGATTATTAATTTTGATAAAAGGTTGTCAACTAAATTATAACTTTTATTTTTTATTTGTTTTTTATTCAAATATTTTTTTTTAATAATCATAAATTTTATAAAATTTAGCAACTTTGCGACAAAATAAGGCGATTATATTATTATATTGTCAATCGAAATTAAAAATTATAATACTCAATCCACAATTTTTTCGCTATTAAATTGTCCCCGAATTGCACGCATTCCTATATTACAGATAATGTTGTTAAACGACTCCATGTAAGGCGATTTTTAGAAATAGCGGGCTCAATATTTTATCCAGAAAAATATGGCTAACCTGAAGATTTTTCTTATAGATAACAAAGGTTTGGACATCTATTGCCGAAATCTCGAGGCGTAGCCAATATTTTTCTGGCGAAAATATTAAGTTAGTCGTTTTTTAAAAGTCTGCTTAAATCCGGCCGCTTAACTACACTAATTACAGAAACGTAAAATGCAACTAAATTATTTGATTTCGTTTGAGAGATTTGTAGAAATATTAATCTAAAAATTATGACATATATTTTTCAAATTAAATTTTTTTAAATAAAATATACCATATTTTCGTTACTATTTTATTGCAAAAAATAAATTTGTAACATAAAATAAAATTATATCAAGTGCATCTATACAGATATCTCTAAAATATTATCTAGATACGATACAGATACTTCTATAAATGTGTATCTAAGTACAGATACCTCATCTTTATATCAAGATACTTGCATCTAGATATACTTTACCACCTCTGATAAATAATGCTATATAAAAATTGGTTTTAAAGAAAAGATTCGATTTTATTTTATATTTCGCCTAAAAACAAATATAGGGTTAGGGTTACTTGACGTCGGCCTCGACCGAACCGGTCGGTGGAAAAAATTTTCGGCTCGATTCTAGATATAATTTTATTGTGCGGTAGAGGGGGTAAAAGGATATAATTTTACAAGTTGTCCGGTAGAGGGAGTAAAGGAAATAATTTTGAAAAATGATATATATTGAATCAGGCTGCCCTGTACCCCATAAAAAATAGTTTGTTTTTGAAGATTTGTTTTGCCAAAAATTTTGAGCAAAAAATTTTTTGTAAGAAAATCAAAATCATTTTTTTTTGAAAAATTTGTGCACGAAAGATTTTATAAGCATCAAAATAATTTTTTTTTTGAAAAAATTGGGATTTTTAGTTAAAATTTGATTCAGAAAATTTGTTTGAGCTTTCTCAAAAAATCTTAGAAATATCAAAGAGGTGTTTCTTGTTTTGCCAAGACAAATAATTTTTACAGATTTATTGGTTCAAAGATAGATGATAAATAAAAATTAATCTAAATATCGGTATCAGTTATCCAGATAGATTGGCTCTGTACGAATATCTGAAAGTATTGGATCGGTGAAAAAAAAGTTTTGGATAGGCACAATTTTTTTTTGCTTACACAAATGTGTTATCCTCGATAATTAAAACAATAAAAAAATAACGCTTTTTTTGTGTCATATATAAAAAAAATAATTTTATTACCTTTTTAAATTTTTTATTTTCACATTCAATTATTTAATAAAACGCACATCTCACCTACCTTTAAAAAAACGAATGTTTTTTTGGCGACATAAAGTCTAGCAAGTGAAAATAAATATTATACTTTAAAAAAATTGAATTAACATAAACTTTAATGTAAATTATTTAATCTCCTTCTGGGGGTTAAAAATAAATAAAATATATAAATATATACTAAAAAAAAGGATCTATTAAAATATAAAGAATTTTCACAATTATGTAGAGAACCTCTGTAATTATAGAAAACTATTTTATTTTTATTTTCTTAAAACGTGCTTCATTGATCATTATAAAATAATTATATTATTGTTTGTACATTATATACTTTGCTGTTTCTTGGGTCTTTCTTTTATGGAATACAAAATAAAATGACAAATTGAAAATATATTTTTAAAAATTATATCTTTTTATTTTAATATGTATAGTAATTTATAAATAAAGCTATTTATTTTAGATTAAATAAATTTTTTTTTTTACAACTTTCAATTTTTTAACCAAAATTTTTTATTATAATTACAGGATTTTAGTATTTAAATATTCGGCATAAATTCCCTAACAGAAAAGTAAAATCGAAATCAATATAAATTTATACTAAATATATTACCTATTCATTATTTTATAAATTATTGCGGGGAATGAAAGAGATCAAAAGAAAATTATCACAAGTTTATCATTACCTATTAATATAATTAATAAAATTGCATTATTAGCAGATTAAATTGTTTTTCTTAAAACTAAAATGATCTGTATTGCCCTTAAATTGAACTCGTAACGGATTGGAAAAAAAATATTACTGATCATCCTAAGCACAATATAAACTAGGATACATTTCAAATATACGTGTAAACAGGCTTCTTTGCTATTTAACTATTTCTCTAAGAAGGGGAAAACTATATGTCTTCGGATGAGTATCATAGTGTTCTATGTCTTTTTTTTTTGAAAATGCATGATTTTCCCGATAATTCAATCCTTCAGCTGTATTCTCCCAAATGGTCAAATATATTAAAATATATCTAGAATAATCCTTTATTCGTCATGGTGTGATCTCCTATCTTCATGCTCTCCTGAAAAATTTTTAAAAATGGATATAGAGCACTATAATTCTCAGCTGACGATATTCTTTTTTTAAATAACGACCTATCCGGAATCTTCAAGAGAGTATATGGAATCTCAATTTTAAAACCATTTCAACTGACAATTTTTTAGGAAAATATGATTTTACCGGAAATGTAGACTAATCTACTTTATAATTTTCTCAATGAATTTTTGTGTATAAATAATATATTTTTTATAATAAGCTATTTACATAAATTTTGAGTTGGAGGCTTGCGTAATATTATTTTACTTAAAATCGTAATTTAAAATAAATTCAGGGCAAATAATTAATAGAATAGGCTCTACTCTCCATGCTGTGGAATTCATTTTCGGATTTTCGCTCTCATAAATGATTTAGAAGTTCTCACGTATAAAAGTTGACTTTTATAAAGTTGACTTTTATAAAACCCACAACTTTGACTATACTAAATTTTATTAGCAAATTTGATTCACGCATTAATTCTTTTATGAAAAAATATGGTATTATAAATCTAGTATATAAAACAGTTTTAAATCTATAACCAGATCCCTCTATACTCCTCCCTCAGCCTACACGACGACTATCATTTAAAATGGCTACTAGCATGTCGACTATGAGGTTGGCCCTTCCCTGAAAATGTAATAGTATTATATTGCTACCCCCCCCCCCTCCCCCAGTTTGTAGTGTTGTTAAACAGCTCGATTTGAGCCGATTTTTATTATCCGTAAAAATATTATAAAAACCTAAAGATTTTGCTCAAAGCTGGTATGGTCCAAGATTTTTAACGCCTATTAACAAAATCTCGAGGATTAGGCAGCATTTTTCTAACTAAAATATTGAGTCAGCCGTTTTCAAAAATCGTTTCAAATCGAGCCCGTTTAACCCCGTGTAGAGGATCATGTCACTTTCATAATTTTAAAATGTAACTAATACCAAATACTTCTTTTATCGCCGTGGAGAACTAAATTTTATGTAATATGATAGGAATGAGAAAGAAAATAAAATAAAATAATTTTACAAATTTTTTCACCAAAAAATAAATAAAAGGTTTAAAATTAAAATAGTTTTGTAATTTTATATCATCAAATAAAAGGAAATTAATCTCTCAACTAACAAATATAAATTAAAATAAATAAATAAAAATTTTAATTTTAAAAGTCATAAAAAAAATAAACTAATTTTTTTTTATTACTTCAATCTTCTTGATTAGACAAATAGACTACGATATTTTAAGGTATATTGTAAAAACAAAAAAATAATGAATTAAATTATAAATTTTTTTGTGTATGATATTAATTTACATAAGTTTGTGGTTTTAATTTTTTAAGCACCTGGGATTATTTACATATAAAAGTAATAAAAAATAATAATATACATTCGGAGTATACTTATTATCTTTATATAAGTTTGTAGTATTCATTATTTATTTTTTATATTTTATTATTATTATTATTATAAAAATTTGGATTTTTAGCATATAATTTTTTTTAAAAAAACACTCCAAATGAAATTAAATAAATTTCAGTTCATAGATGATCATTTATATTCTTTATTCGTGTTATATCAAATAACATTATTCAGGGTCAACTCAAAATGTCTTCCACAGGAATCGTTTTTATGAAATTTAATCGTTCCAACGTTCACAAGGGCAATAAAAATGATATACAAATCAATGCAGATAAATTCTATAACACGAATCTATTTTCAGCTAACTCATACGTGTATCAACCAATACCTCTTCTCCTAAAGGGAGAGAAATTGAGAACCGTCCATAAAATTTATAATCCCGAATTTGATACCACGGTCGACCCTTATTCCTACGAAATTAAACGACCAAAAACACGCACCAACTCTTACAGCGAGGATTCGATTATCAAGTGGCATTTGGCCCAACAATATTGCTTTAATTGTACGACGATCCCGTTTGATCAGACCTTTAGACTGATCAGATCGATTTCCAGAGCCTTTAACTTCGTTCTAATTCTGTATTTAGGATTAATATTAAACTGGACCCCTTTTTATTCTACCATGTTAAACTTTCAGACCCAAACCATACCACCTATGACCTCCTATACCGCTAAAAGTTTAGATTCGAACTACCCTCATCTCAAGGTAATCTCACAATTCGGTCTACCATATCAATCCAATTTCAGGCAACGCTTAATTAATATATGTTTCTCATTTTCGTGGACCATTTCCGATTATGTTCGTAAGGGCGGGGGCGTAGAATGCCGAAATGTTTTGTCACGAAGTCCAAAATCTGTAGATAACTCGTTAAATTCTAACCCGAACACTAATTTTGTCTACATGGCTCATAAAATAGTTAAGAAGAAACGTGTCATAAACCATGGAAAAAATGATGAAAGTATAAAACTGGCTTCTAAAGCTTTGCTTACGCGTCTTGGAATTCCGGCGGCTACCCAATTGAAAAGCGATTATATACGTATTCCCGAATTCATGATCCGTTTATACGAATCCCAACGGAAAAAATATTTACAATTATCTCAAAATATTCGCGATACCAAAGATAACAACCCTATTAATACGCAAAATTATTTAGAAAAAAGTACAATTTCCACTCATAAGAATTTGATGAATCTACCAGATTTAGAAGATGCTTTGAAACTTCCCATCTCAAATCGTTTAAGCAAAAGTGCTACTTGGGCCAATACAGCCAGGAGTTTTTACGAACAAAGTTAAAATTATATATTTTTAAGACTTCAATTCTTATATACTAGTGCGGACCTTATTTTTCCACTTCCTACTCTATATAAAGATCTTAATATATTTTTTTTTGTCTGACCGACCCCATCAGAACCAATAAAGATCCGAGCTGATTTCGTTCCTGACTATAATTTAAAATGTGGTCCGATATGATCTGACGATTTATGGGAGATTGTAAACCTTCGAGGAAAACATGAAAATTTTTCTCTCCTTTTCTAGGAGAATAACAATTATAAAATAAGTAGGAAAACAAAATTAATAATTTTTTTTCCCCAGATCCAACACCTCCGCGCGAGGTTCCATTATATTGTATATCATGTATACAATTGTGACATAAATGTATGTCGTAGGAGCTAAGGAGATCAGGAATTTTTTAACAAATCTTTAAAACTTAAATAAGTCATAGCTCGGGGTTTTTTTTGAATTTTTTTTCTGTTGAAAAACCCTGATTATCCGGGAATCGTATTCGAACAAGTATAGAGTACTTACCCAAGTAAAATCAGACTTTTGTTGTAAATTTTTGAACTACTCTTAAATTTATATAAATTTATCATGTATATCTTTACTTGAGAATTAGATTATTTCAACTCCACTTTTTGTGATTTTACAGGTGAATAATTTTAGAAATTTAGATTCTACTCTTTCAATATGATGGTATAACCTTATATTGGCTAAAATTTAACTTATTTTATAAAATATTTCGGATTTAAAAAATTGATTTATGTCAAAAGGTTTTTTTTTCATAAAAGTGGATATGGAACAATCTTACTCATAGGTGACGATATAAATCAGATAAATTACAAAAATAATTAAATTGCTTGAAATATATAGGATTAGTGTGGATTCCGGTAAAATGGGGTTTTTTCAAAAAAAAACGCGTGATATCAATTAAATTTTTAAAAAGTTTGCGAAAAAAAACCCAGGTTTATGAAGCATAGCCTCGAGTTTGCTAGACCCCTTACGTAATGTAATATATTTATATATTTAAAATTAATTTTTTTAAAAATTAAATAAAGCACACAATGAGGATACCAATATAAATTCGTTGTTATGGCAAAACGGATTTTCGAACTACAGTCGCCATCTCTATTTTAACCTCACAGGTTCGTCTTCCAGTGATCTAGTGGCATCTGAACTTCGTTTTTATCTCAGGAATATACTTTTCTCTAATAATCAATCCTTAATATCGAAATCTTGTTTAGCAAATCCAAAATATTTACAATATCGTGTCGATATTCATCAGATTCTAGGAGAACATGCTGATTGGGGTTACGATTTATCGTTACGATTATACAACGAGACTGGTCTATGGAAATTCCATTACCTCAACACTAGATTATTGGATACCCTCCTTTTGAATATAGGCCTTCATTCACGATGGGAAGCGTTAGATATTCTTCCCGCAATATTGGATTGGTCATCGGATCCTAAGAGTAATCGGGGATTAGTGATTGAAATCACGCCGAACAATGAAACATGTTTTACTACCTATCATTCACCTTTGTACAACCAGCCATCCTACCAAAGCCAAACCCAGAGTTTAAATGATACAAATGTGACAAACGATTTTTCAATCATTTATTCCTCGGACGAATCTTTCCTTGTCACGTACAATAAAGAAATACCTCGTGAATTTACCCCAAAACACAATTTAGATAGAGCCTCTAGGATCAAAAGAAATATAGGCGAAAATCCGGATATGGAATCATCAGAAACCGATTACACCTTAAATAATAATGAAAATCACGAAATCAAAATTCAGGGTCATAACAAAAACGTAAAATATTATAACGATAATAAGAATGCCATGAGGAGAAGGAAGAGAAGATGGTCCAATTGTCGTAGGCATCCTCTCTACGTGGATTTTAGTGACGTGGGTTGGAATGATTGGATAGTGGCTCCGCCAGGGTACCAGGCCTTCTATTGCTCCGGGGAATGCCCATTTCCACTGGCAGACCATATGAATTCCACCAACCACGCTATCATTCAAACCTTAGTTAATTCCGTCAATCGTAAGTTAGCGCCCACCGTGTGCTGCGTGCCTACTGAACACAGTCCTATATCTATACTTTACTTAGATGAATACGAAAAAGTGGTTTTGAAGAACTACCAAGATATGGTCGTAGTTGGTTGCGGATGTAGATAATACGTTTTGTATATTTTATAATTTTAAGTGCGTCGTGTTGCTTAATAAAGAGTTGCTTATAAGCACGTGTCGGCATTGGCTTCCTATCTTCGTTACTCAAGCTGGATTCTGAAAATAAAAGAATTTATAAAATTTTAAATGCGATGTGTTGCTCAATTAAAGAGTTGCCTATATTATAATATGATGAGCAGGTGTTGACCTTGGCTCCCTTTAACCTTAGTTATTCAAGCTAGATCCATAGAATAAAACAATAAAATTTTACTTTGCCAGAAAATACTGTGATTTTTTTTAATGGATAGCATTTTAATGCTTGTTTAGGTTAAAGAGATAGAAATATAAATTATACTAAATGTATGATAGCACAAAAACAACAAGAACTTTATCTGCAATCCCTTAACTTGTTAGAAATTTCGTTGCCACCTTTTTTTTTATATCTAATATATTATAATAAAAGAAAATATGTATCTTCGATGGTGTAATATAAAAAATATGTACATTTCATAATTGACAAATAAATATTATTTTTTTATTTAAACCACTCATCTCATAATATTTAAGGTAAATATATTATGTAACCCTCGCTAGTGAAGCTACTCAGTTCGGTTCATATCGTATCCTTGGACTCTACCAATTTTTCAAATAAAAAAATGTTAGTTGGATGAAAACCGATTAAAAAAGAACCCAATCAGATCGATTTGTTTTGATTGATCCGATCAAATCCAGCTTGCAATGTATAATTATATATTCAAAATCGGCATCGGATTGGTTTTATGAATCGTTTCGATATTTTATTTCAAAAGGATAAATATCAATGCAGTTTTAGTCAGAATTAAGTTCTAAGACTTTTTTTTCCCAAAAACAATGTTATTAGTCAGCCCCACTTTCTTTATTCCAGACACGATCAGCCGAAAAACCTTTGTTTAAAAATGATGAGTCTTTGTTTATATTATAATTTAATTATACTAGTAAATAAATATATCATTAAAAATAAATTTTTTTGACATTATTAACCCCCCCTACATAATAAACTTTATTTTGAAAGAAAAATTTATCTTTATTTCAATGGCTTCAATAGCGTTTTTTTTAAACCTCAGTTTCAAAAATTAAGAAAGTATAAATTTTATCCTAAAATGTGAAAAATATAGGAAATTCTTTATCTAAAAATCATATAAAGGTAGATTCAAATTAAAATTATTTTGCAAATTGGTTATATAAAAAAAATGAACGTAATGAAATCATAAATTAAGATTGGCAATGTAAATTTAACTCGAAATTATTAGACGCCTAACCTTGCTTTCACAGTTAGCGTGAATTCACAGCGAAGTATACAGTGCTAACTTTTTAGAATAAAGGGATGAATATTTTTCTAGAAATGTACACCTGATTGTATTTACGCTGAGAAAATTTCAGTAGCATTTTGATTTTTGAAGATGGATTTGCACCGTTTGTCATTCTTTAAGCATAAAAGAAACAATTATAGAAAATTAAAATTTTTATTAATACATTCAATAATTCTTAAGAATATATATTTTTAATTTATTCATCAAATTAGGAGACATTTATTTTAAAGTGATTCATATATCTGTTATATATATTTAATATTTTATCACTCCTCATTTATATTTGAATTTTTATGTTAGAAATTGTCATTATTTATACATTTCTAAATTTCAATAATCCTTAAATAACTTGTAGAATAATTCTAAAAAAATCTTAATCACCCCCCCCCCCTTCTAAAGCGAATTCCCGCTTATTTGCATGGTATATGTGTATCTTATCTAGAAATTCTTGAAGACCACATATCTTTTATATCTATATAGATCTTATTTAGAATTATTAGGAATGTTTGACCTTATTAACGCTGGTATTTGAATCAAAATAAAGATAATGAACGTAATAAAAAATAAATGTTCTCAATATAAATCTCGTTTTGAAAATTAACCTAAGATTTACCGGACGGAGGGCTGAATAAAGGAAAAGTAGTTTAGAACACTCCCCCTCCCTGGTCTTATAAAAAATCTCACCTGAAATATTTCTGAAAATAGATCCACTTCTATTTAAAGAAATATTATATCGAAGTTAATAGAATAATTTCCACTATCTCATAAGAAATAAAATTAAATTAAACTCCCCCCCCCCTTATCGTTGTTACTGTATAACAACACTCCTTAGCTTTAAAATCTATTCTAAATCTGAAAATTATATTTTTGGCTTTAAGTTCTTTATCTTTTAATCGAAAAAATATTTTACAAATAAACCAACTTAAAATGACCTGATTTTCCACCGTTTCATTATGTCCTTTCTCCAGATGTGAACCATCTAACTAAAAAAAGGGTTCAGGTTTATGTGTAGTAAATAAAATCTCTGAACCAGATATGGCTTCAGGTGGGTTCAATGTTAGGCGGTGTCCAGAAAAAATTTAAATTTACTTAAAATGCATAAAATAAAAACGATTCTTGGGTCATACCATGATTAGTCATTATTTGTAACTTAGAGGATCTTTGTAAATTTGTTGAATTGTTCAATAAAAATCTTGTTTACTTTGGACAATGTTAAATTTTTGGCTGCATGTTTAACGAGCTTTTTAAGGTTTATATAACCCATGAAATATATAATTTATAGCAATTAAAAGTCAGCCAATTATAAATTAAGTAAGGGTTTAAAAGAATGACAACTTAAATGGTTAATAAAAGTAATTAATTTGTTTTTTCTTGTCTAGACTTGTGTGCCGAAGCCTAATTTGGACGGCGGTTTTTTAATTTTAATTTTTTTAATGAATTTAATTTCTAATTCAATATATTACATTTTTTTCTATAATTTATTTGGCCACTCTTAGTTATGACATTGTTAATAAGTTTATGCATTTCTTAAACTAATTTTTGTCTCACTCCTATTTCAATTTAAATATTTTCTCATTCTCAGACATAGACTAAGGAGTTGCATTTTTACTCAGATCAGAGTCACATAAACAACACATAGTAGTGCTCAGGCGCGTACGCAGGAATTTGGTCTGAGGGGGGGGGGGAGATAATAAATCTTTTTAAGAAATATTATTGTTTTTTAAAAATATCAAGCATAAATTTATTAGGACATAACTATTTCTAATACAATTTTAAATTAATGTGAATTATAAAAAAATTATATGTAAAGAATCACTTAAATGACCCTAAATAGAAATTTGAATTATTTGAGCCTATAAAATTTATATATAAAGTATAAAAAATTTAAATATTAGAAATATACACAAAAAGTTTCTTAGGAATAATTGTATTTTGTATGTTATATATTTACAATGTAAAATCCAATTTTCGTTGGGATTGAGCTAATTTTTCAATTATCTCATCCTTGCTTGTCGTCAAATGTCTATGAATATTCAAAAGAACTTAACCTTTCAATCTACTTTCAGAAGTTGTACTTCTTGGTATGTTTTTCAAAGACCTGCAGGGTCGGCCCCCGGGCCGGACTGTATTTTAATTAATTTAAATGTATCCAGGCTGGGCCCGAAATTTAAAATGAATTTTTTTTAAAAAACACCCCGGCCGGGCTTGAAAATTTAAAAAAAAACCCGGGCCGGGCCGTAAAAATTAAAACAAAAATCCGGGCCGTGCCCTGCAAATGGTACTTCTGCAGGGATCTGTTATTCTTCTTAAAAAAGAGAATGTTCTCTCATTAGTTTAAAACACAGTTATTCAGCTAATAAGGCATCATAAGATACTTTAACATCTTCATGATAAAAATCCAACAAATATTTTTTTTTTCTATCACCATCTAAAAAAGGTTGGGAAGGCTTTTATGGAAGTAATATTTGCAGATTGGTAAGTGCTGTATGATGAATTAAAAACCATTCATTTATTTGGGTTATAAATGTAACTGTATCTAAGATATACTCTTCTACTGATCCTTTATTAATGTTTTAACTATGAGCTTGCCTTGCTGCAAGTCGAGGGAGACAAATATTAAACACGTATAGCTCTGCTTTTGACTTAACAATAACATATAAAATATGGAATTCTTCATCAACATTAGCCCTAATTTCCCTGAGTTCTAATAAAATGTTCTTCGCTATTCTCATCTTCTTAATCAAGTCAATGTCATGTTTTTGAAAAGTAATACATAAAATAGTTGTATAATTTCTAATGAGAAATTTTTTTTGGAATAAGCATTGAATCCAATAATTTTGTTGCTTCTGAGGAAATATTTCTTTCAGGCCATTGTGATATTTCAGTAATAGCAAATAATCGGCTCTTCTAACTCCATAAAAGCTGTTACTGCTTGATGGCGGAGACTCTATCTCGTTGGACAAGGTTGCAATTTCTTTCTCCCTGTTGGACAAGAAGTTTCAGAAATAATTATTATTTGACTAGAAATTTGAAAATGGTAGATAAATATTACGCCACTAAAAATTTGAAAATAATAAGTAAATATTAGGCCGGAAAACTTGAAATCAAAATTAATTGATAAAATAACTTAGTAGATGAATGTGATAATAAATGTAATTAAATATTTAATATGAGATAGGAATAGATATTAACAAATATAAATTAATATATACAATATTATTTTTGAAAAATATATCCGGCATCTGCATTTTTTGGCTTTTGGGGAGGATTTGCCCCCCCCCCCCCTGCCCCCACTCGCTGCGTACGCGCCTGGTAGTGCTGTAAACGAATCCGTTCATTTTGAACCCATTCATGAACGAAGTTCGTATTTTTGAAAAATGATGAACGAAGTTCGTATTTTGAAAATGATGAACGGCGTTCGTTTTTGACGAATTGAACGTTAACGCGTTCCTTTTTTTGACGAACATGTTGGAATTTAACGTTTGTTCAATTTTAAAAACACCTTTTATTTTTTTATTTGAAAAATTTAATATTAATGCGAATTTTTTTTAAGAAAATTTTTTTATATTTTTTAATCAGTTTTTTTTGCCTTTTTAACATTTCAATTTTTTTTAACAAGCCATATCTATACTTTATTAATTTGAATGTTATTGTTTACAT